GCCACGTAGAATTAAGGCAGTTCTGAAGGCGAAAGGGGGTCAAACACCGTATTAGTATGGTGTTCCTAATAATCCTTTAGGTGAGTGTATATATACACATACACACACACACATATATATATACCGTCCAACTTATCTGTGGATCTTTTGCTACGGAGTTTTATTTGTAAAGCACCGCACGTAATGTGTTATCAACTGATATTGGTAACAATGGCAATTAACCGGGCTAGAATCGGACTTCATGATTAGATGGATTATTTGTCGGATTTACGGTAGATCGTACCTATTGTAAGCAAACCAAGATAAAGACCATTTAATCTGTGGTACCTTAAATCCGACAAGTTGTCCGCCTAAGCAAAAAATCTTGATTTTTGATATGGGTCCCTGGTATTGCACTTCTGTGGCAGATGGAATGCATCCGACTCATGTTCAAGATGTTCAATAAACATGTTAAGTGCATATATATTCACTTTTTTCTTGAGTCTGTTTGCTCATGCAAAATTAAATGTGATTAATATAGATTAAAAATGAATGATATTTAATCATGATTAATCAAAATTAATCCACAGGAACCCTGATACATATACAGGGATGCTGAATACACAATACTGAATCTCTGCTCCTTAATCCTTTTGAGAATGCAAGAAACAAATGGTCTTTGTCCTGTCAAAGAGCTTTGTGTGTGCATTTATTCCTTAGCTCCTTTGTATTTGTAACACCTAACTCTCACAGCTGCATACGATGGGCTTCAAACCACTCGGCTTGTCATGATACTGAAATTTCAAATTCGATACCGATACTAAGGATCGTGCTCGATACTCGATACTACAAACACAGGAACTTTTTTTTATTTTTTTTAAATAAAGTCAGACCACCACCAAAAAATATTAAGACAAACAATACAATGAAAAAATAAACCTTTACCATTAACATTGTAAAATAAATAAAATATTTTTATTTATTTTTTGTCAGTGATCTGACAGGGATCTGGTCCATACAAATGTACTTGGCAACAGCCCTGTTGAGCGTTTGTGCCTTTGGTGATTTGGGACTGTATTTCCGCTGTTGTTCAAACAGTGCTGGTAGGGTGGGTTGTGTTTGTGGCTGTTTAGGTCTGGCTGCTGGTGCCCTTCTCTCAGCCTCAGCCTGGGACTATAAGACAAACATAATGATTGTCAGATACGTTTTATAAGTTTGGCACCATGACAAATAAATAAATAAATAAATGAACGAATAAACGAAAGAAATGTATTTTAATGTTTTTGAGCCAAACTAAAAAAAGCACTCCACGCTTCATGTGGCGCAGCAGTGAAAATATATGCGCGTTGTGCAATTAGATGATTGTAAAACGCGGAGAAGCAAAGACACAGCCATTCTTATAGTTAACTTACTTCAACAGTATTGCTTGACAGTGGCACTTAAAATATTCATATTTTCATATTCATATGTTTGAACAACAACTTTCCTCTCGAAACTTCGCGTATAATTCGGAGTGATGGTCTTTCAAATGCTTCGCTAAATTTGTCGTGCTGCTCGTTTTGGTTGCGACAACTTTGAAGCACTTCTTGCAAATGGGCTTGTCCATATCTTTTGGTTTTCCTTGTTCATCTAGTTCATATGCGAACTATTTCCAGACAGTGCTCCTGCTTTTTACATTCTCCATCAAGCTTGGTGCTGCAGAACCAAAGCTGGAGCTGCTTTCGCTCACTGCCATGTTTAATTAAAATGTGTCACTCATGTAAAATGGCTCCTCCAAGTAGCCGTTATGGGGGAGAGGTTACCCGCTGCAATTCCTGTTGAAAATTGTATCCGAGAATCGATTTTTTTTTTTTTTACATTAGTATGGGTTATATGAATTAAATGTTATTGAACATGTTTACAACTGGACCACACTGTGACCAAGGAAAGAATTATTGTACATAGATATTTATTAATTGTATTCAGAAAATAAATTGTGTGTAAATATTGTGGTACCACTCTTGGGACCTGTAATACATGTACAATGCGACACACTTTTTGTGGACTGTATAGCGGCACCCCAGCGGTCTTGTCCAGGCAGTGCCAACGGCCTTTATGCTGCCCTACAGTGTGCTCTACCGCCGCCGTCCCCCCAGCAGTGTTGACTGAGAAATACCCGATCGGTCCGCAAGTTCTCACTGAAAAGCACCTGTGGCTAAGGGACTGCAGCAGGAGCCTTGGAGGGCGTTGACGCAGCAGCCACCAGGACCGGAGCCTTGCTGGGCGGCGCAGAAGCCGCTGGGACAAGCAGGCACGGGAAGCACAGGTGGGATAGGCACGTCAGGCGCCGGGAGGGTTGGCATTGCCCCTTTAAGACCTTCGGGGATCCGGGGAATGGCATCCCTCACTGACCTGGCCCCTTTAAGGGCTGCGCTGCTAGCGGTGGCAGCATAGTAACGGCCATGCGGGCTTAGGGCACCTGCATGCCCGCTCCGGCGGTAATGTCCCGGTTGAGCTCTGCCGGTTCCCGGATCGAGAGTGGTTCCTCCCGACATTCGGCAGGGAGAGAAGCTGGAGAGAGAGAGCCGGACCCCAGGAAGATGTTCTGTCGAAAAATACTACCTATCGAGACGTGCTATCGAGCCTTTCTGCACATGTGCAGTTCCACCGTTTTGGGATTAGGGTTAGGTTTTAGGGGTTAGGGTTTTAGGGGGTTAGGGTTAGGGTAAGAGTTAGGGTTAGGGCTATCTATTAGCACTACAGTAGCATTTTTCGACAAGGCAGCATATATCGACAGAACAAAGATCGTTGGTGCGTCCTCGGGTCTCTTCTCCTTTTGCTTTCTCTTCTTTTTCCCAGCAGTGTTGCCAACTATATTTAGCGAGTTTTTAGACCTCTCTGGCGACTCGTTTTCAAAAAAGCGACTAGCGACAAATCTAGCGACTTTTTCTAGTGTTATTGGAGACTTTTGGAGACTCTGACGTGGAAGCACGTATCGTTCTTACTCTACTCACCGAGTAGCGGGTGCTGCCGTGGGTTCCCCTTACGTCCCAAAGCATTGACAGGCGGGGAGTCCTCACGCAGCAGCCCCGCCCAGCTGCAGTCAGAGCAGGAGTTGTTCACCTTTCCGCATCCAGACTGCAAATTGAATCACGCATGCGCGAAGCCACCACTGGCTTATCCTGCCCTGGCTTATTGCCAAAAACTCCGCCAAGTAAACAGTTAAATGACAGTTTTCAAGAATAAGTAACTCTGCCAGAGTGTCTCTTTGGGGTCACTTTTGCCGGTGTTCTGACAAATTGAGCTACTTTGTCGAGTTAGGCTACCGTAGTGCTAATCGATAGCCCTAACCTAAAAACCCCTAAAACCCTTACCTTAACCCTAACCCTAACCCCTAAAACGGTGGAACTGCACATGCGCAGAAAGGCTCGATAGCAGGTCTCGATAGGTAGCTCACCAGTCCAAAGCTCGGATAGAGGAGGAGGGTTGGAATTGTGATATAAAAAAAAGAATCGACAGAAGAAAGTTCATTTGTAGTTCTAAACGTATTAACCACCTTTTGTCTCTCCCACGACATTATTCCTCTCTCCTACAGTGTCCATTACAATTATATGTGCATTATGCAAATTAGGCGATGGCGTCATTTAGTGATTTCTAGCGACTTTTGGGACAACCAATAGCGACTTTCCTTGCTGAGGAGTTGGCAACAGTGTTTCCCAGTAGTCTGGGGTACTGCGGGCGGCTCCGATAGCGGATCCATCGGTAGTCCGCTGTCCAAATCCACCTGCTGCCTATTGACCTCAGCCACTACTTCCCTGAGCTGCCGTAAGTTTAGCCAAACCTCCGCGGCTAGGAAGGCGTCCTTCGTCGGGGAAATCCCCCGCAGAATATCCCCCCGTATGGATCGCCAATGCGCTAGCTGCGGGGTCCTCCTGGACCTCTGGCTGTTGTAGCCAGTATACCGCCTTGCCGACCAGATCGCCGTATTCAGCTTCCGTTAGCTGAGGTGTCTTCTTCGAGAGATCCGTTGTTCTGTCACGTCGCGTTTCTGACGAGCAGGCAAATAGATGAGTGGAGCCATAAATACGGGCAAACACAGCACACAACATCAATGACGGATCTGGGAAAAAGACGAAGACGTGGACTGATATACACAGAACAAGCCGAAAATTATGGAGGGAAATCCCTGACATTTTTCAAAAGAAATTTCAAACTGCATTTGCAATTGCATTTTGCATATGTGGACACATAAAGTGTGACATAATTCAAATGCAATTGCAAATTTTGCAAATTTTTCGCTTTCGCGAACGAACACTGACTGCCAAATTTCAAATGAAAAAGCAAAATCCATTTGCAGATGCATTTCCCATGTCTTACAAGTTATGAGCCTGTCATATTTAAATAGCAAAATCAATTATCACTGCTTTTTCACTTTCTCTGCATCGCGTATGTAGCCTGCCAAAACGCAATCGCAATTCATTTTGCATTTGAATTTCCGACGCATTACACAGAAACCTGTCAATCAGCGTCAGGGGTGGGTCTATACTGTGGGGCGTAATTGTATGGGGAGTGACGTCACTTCCAGTCGACGACCAAAGAGGGGGAAATTTGAGCAATGGAGGTGATCGGTGAAATTGTGGAAGAAGTTGAGGAACTTATGATGCTAGCGCAGCAAGTTGACGATAGTTCATACTCTGCAATTTTTCTTGTGCTCAGAAGTCATTTAGTTTTGGACAGGTTAAATGAGTTTGTCGCCCTGACGAACAACAACATCAGTAATGCTGTCTTCGCCAAACTGAGTGAAGTGGCTGACAGGCTTTTTGTAAGGGACAGAACAACTAAAGGACCAGGACGTCCTATGTTTTTTGGTGTACTGATCAACATGTTTATAACCACACAAATACCTTAAAGTATGATTTTTGCAGAACAATCTTATCCGCAAAGGGTCAGTGTGTATGCAGGTTTTTGGGTTATCTTTTAGGTAAGCTGCTCAAACCCAGGTATGAGGACTTACCAGCCAATCAGTCCTCTAATTAGTAATCTAATTAAGGAGTTGCAGCAGAAACCCGCATACACAGCGGCCCTTTCTGGATAAGATTGCTCACCCCTACTCTAGGGAATAGAGTGGGATGTGCTGTCCAATCCATGGAGTTCCCACCTCATGAATTACAGGATGTTAGGTACCGTAAGGTTTTAAGTCCGTACTGAAGGGTTCACATGTAATACATATTGCTCAATTTGCATCTGTTGCGTTATGGTGTTTCAATGGCTCTGCCCAACATGGAGATCCTCTCCTGAGTCTCTCTCGATGGACGTCATCACTTCAGCATTATGTGCAGAAGAGGGCCGACGATGCTGAATCCCCCAACTCCTCACTATTTTTGGCTTGCTCTTTTGTTGGTGGTTTGTGCTTTATTCTAATTACTTGTGTATGACTCTGGATTGTCCCAGGTTGATCACTTTTTGCTTTGCCCCTCGGTTGCTTGTCTCTGTATTTACTTTTCCTATGTACCTACCATTTTGCTTGTGTTCCTGACTACAAGAAAGCCTAGCCCTTGATGCTGATGTTCAGAATGTGTATCGTGTCTGGTGTAAAGAGTGAATGCCATTTGCTTTGTTCAATTTCTTTGTATATTTGGATAGGAAGATAGCGAGAGTGTCTTTTTTTTATTTATGTAGGTAAGCTAGTTTGGGACTTGTGCAATAGATTGTTTGTTTTTTTTTTTTGTTGTGTTGGCCTGCATCACTCTTGAAGTCTGTACCTACACTGTGGTGAGCAAACTTTTAAATACACACTTTATTTATACTACCCGTATTGTGCACTGTGTTTGTTCTGTCCCCATACCATACGTCCACCTATGCATCTATTCTGTAAGTAACCCCTTAGACTGGGGCTCATAACAAGGACTTAAAGGACCTTCAAAGGTCTTGTAGAGTCCATGCCTTCATGAGTCAGAGCTGTTGTTGTGCCACGAAGGGGACTTATGCAATATTAAGCAGGTGGTTTTAATGTAATGGCTGATCGGTGTACACAGGAACAAAGGAGGGACTCCAGTCTCGAAACCTGAGGGCTAGACTTCCACCTTTACCTTGAAAGAATAGTGGAAGGCCAATAACTGATGGCACCCCTGTAAGTAGCTGATCATCCACCCTCCATCCTATCATCCCCCCCAGGATACAAGCACTAATATAAATGTTAAGTTTGTTGTATTCATAACTAAATTTGTCCTTTTCCCATTTTACCTGAGAATGGCTGGGAGTTTTATATTAACTTGTCAGTTTTAGGCATTGATACTTATCAGACTTACTTTGTGATTATTATTTATAATCATCTGAATTTACTTTAGTTTTATTTGGTGTTGCTCTTGGGTCCTTGCAATCCAGTTTATGGTTCATCACCCTTCAGCCTAGCTGAGATCCGCTGGTCCGTCACCCTTAATTAAGGCCCACTACTGCCCCCTACCTCCTTTGATACCATCTTTCCATTTAAGGAATGCTGGGTTGTGAAATGGGATTGCAGAGATTGAGAGTGAGTCACATGATTTTAAGTTTTCTGGAATTGTATTGGGATATCTAGGTACACAACCTTTTTGTTTTTGCTGTGATTCTGTGGATTGTGATATGATTTTAGTTGCCTTCAGAGCTACCGTGTAAATGGTGTATTACTGTGTAGAATATGTATATATTTTGCAAATAATGTATGTATGCTTGTTTTTGTATTCCACGTCGAAGCTAGCAAGAATTTTTGTGTGCATGTGTGTGTTAGTGTGTATGTTTATGTCTTTTGTAATTATTACATTGTGGAGACCAGATTTCCCCATAATGTGATTAAGACCTGTAACTGTTTACCTTGTGGGGACATTTTTTCAGTCCCCAGGATAACCTGAAAGAACTAAAAAGGCTGAAAGTCTTGTATTTTGTTTGGTTACTTACGGTTTTGGTTAAGGCTGGGAAGGGGTTAAGGTTGTCATTGCTGGGATGACGGTTATGCCCATAGAAATAAATGGAGATTCTCCATAAATAAATGAATACATGGACTGTGTGTATGTGTGTTTCCTCTTGAGATGCCAGGTCAACTGGGGATTGTAGAACAGTATAAAATAAAAGCAGGCAGGTGGAAGAGCACCTAGGAACCCATCACCAAAGGGCTGCAGTGAGTCTGAAGAGACCTCCCTGTTTGCCCAAGTACCATGAATCCAGCAAATCCAGTGAGTCAACACGGAAAGATGAAGACACTGAAAGTCAAGTAGTGCTGGTTGCAGAGCTCAAGGGATGTGGAATCTCCAGAAAAACCTCAAGGGGCATTTCTACCAATAATTCTAGAATGCTGAGCACTAGTTAAGGCACAAAATGCAAGTTGCAATAAATCGCAATCCTCAACGCTGAATTTGCAAAAACACTACAAAATAATATTAGTTGGTACAATGGGAGGAGCCTAATGAGGTTCCCCGTCTATGACGTCATAAGCAGGAGGCGGCGTATCCCTTGTTCTGATTGGTCGAGGATTATGTCCATATGGTATCATACATGCTTATGCCACGTGTTGCCGATAAGGGGCGTATGGTTTGGGGAGCTAATGGTTGCCGTTAAACTTCAATAGAATAATAAATACATGTAATGTATTTTTAATGTGTTATTTTTAATTACGTTTTAACGAATAATAAAACATATAGCAGAATGAACGTAAGCTAGCACATACACGGTGTAGACAATCGCGCCCCGGGACCGTATTTTAAAAGAAAAAGAACGTAAGCTCATTATATTTAACCGAAATGTTTAAAGAATACTCCGTATTTTAAGCACAAAACGACACAAGTCCCAAACTTCTAACTTTTAAACAAGGAGAGGCATGCCCGAGCGAAACACTATCAAAAGAGCAAATGCGAAACAAGCACAAATATTTTAGCCCAAGTTTTTTAAAATGAGAAAAAGCCGTAATCAGTTTAACAGTTTTATTTCAATATAAAATAGAAAATGTATTTGACCAAACGCGAAGATCCATCGATAGCGGCTCTGGGTTCCGTCGATGTCTCACAAACAGCGGGGTCAAGGCGGCCATTATTCCGCAACGGAGCGAACCGACATGCTACCGGTCTGTTCAAAAGTTGTGCGTCAAATGATTGTCCGTGGGGGGCAGCACTTGACGTATGCGCACTCACCCCTGATTTACACTGGATGCGTATCCGCTGCGGTGCGAATGCACTGCGTTCCCATTCCGTCCGAGGCCGTCCGCCAATTCACACTGGATGCGTTTGTGGTCCGTATCTGATCCGGCACGCCGCTGGTTTGCGAGAT